ATGATATTTTTATTTATTCCCTTTTGCTAGCTGGATTGCCTTTTGCAATTCTTACTTCAAGGCATACCCCCTTCCAACGAGGAGTGTTCTGTAATGATGAGTCCATCAAGTACCCTTACAGAGAAGACACCATACCTTATGCGTTATTAGGTGGAATAATCATTCCATTCAGTATTATCGTTGTAAGTTAAACCTGCTTTTCCAAGTTTATAACTTTTGAGCACATGGCTTACTCTTGTGATAGTTTGTTAATGATTAAATGTATATCCCCTCAGGATTTTTTTTAGCCTTACTGGAAGGATTATTTTGTGGAGCTATTTTAAATGAGATCAAAAGTGTTGAAAAATATGTAATTGTAGCCTAACTCAGTCTGTGTAGATTTTGTGCTAATTTTTATGTCACTGTGATTATTATAGTTCTGATTTGCTACTGTTTCAGTAATTATTTGACTAATTGTTGAATGTTACAGCAGTGTGTTTCTCACATAGTTAATGCATTGGATATCATAACTGAATATCTTTTTCTGAGTTCTAGACAAGAAAAATTGCTAACTGATATTAAAACTTCATTTAACTCATTTCTTTTTTTAGAAGAAGTTTAAATACTGCCATAAATGGAGAAAAAAAGTTTTTGAGTTCTGTGATTAGCAGTAAGCGTGGAAGGAGTTTTACTAACACCAAAGGCAACACTTCCAGTTTGAGCCACAGTGTAGCCATTGCTGTCCACTGCCCCAGTGGGGTGCTCAGAAGGCATGGCTCTGGGTGGAGTTTAGTCATAGGCTGTGTCCATGGCCTGTACATCCAGAAACTGTGTTACTTAAATAAACATTTATGTGTTAAAAAAGCTTATGACTTTAGCAACAGTATTTATGTAAACACAGTTAAAGGCAGAAAGTATGATCCTAAGAGAAAAGACAACAGCATGTACCTTGTCAACTTTTGAAGTTAATGTTAAATTAACATTTAATTAATTTGGCAACATCATTAAAATCATCACCGTATCTGATTAGGAATGAAAATTAGTTAATTCATACTCTGTGGTAGACAAGTAATGAAAAGAAACCTACTGTATGAGTGTTTATTTTGTGAAACTGAGATGCCAGGAAGAAGGATGCTGCTTTGTCAGCCCGCGCCTTCAGTGACTGTCCTGGAGCCACTTATGTGACACTGTCTTCAGGATCTGGTGAGGGATCGTATATAGCCTGCATGATTGTCCTGCAGCATGCAAAGGTTAAAGAACTAGTAAAGGGGAACAAGTCCGTGATGGTTTGTCAGAGGAAGTCATCTGTGTAGAGACGGGGTCTCCCTGTGTTTCCCAGCATGGACAAGAACTCATGTGCTTAGGCACTCCTTCTGTCTCAGCCTCTGGAGTAGCTGGGAAGTCTTTTCCTCTAAAAAAAATTATACATGAATCTTCCCTGAGCATAGTGGTGCATGCCTATGCCCCCAGCACTCAGGGAGCTGATGCAGGAAGATTGTAAGTTCAAGACCAGTTTAGACTACTCAATGCGATTGACTCTCATGAGAACAAATACGCACATACAACGGGGCGGGGCTGTCCTGGGTTATAGTTGCAGATAGCGGCTGATGTCCGACCAGATTCACGTATCCCATTTAAAGTGCCTGAGGTCCTGTTCTCTCAGTTGTGCTGTCAGTTAAAGTGCACAGGTAACACTGTAGGCTGCACCCGAGGAGAGGGCAGTGGTGGAGCAGGTGCCCAACACAACAGTCCAACATGGGAGTTACGCTCTGTGAACTTGGAGCTTTGTTTCAGGATGAAGAGATGGGTCAGTGGTCCCTGCTCTTCCAGACTATCCAAGTTCAGTTCCCAGCACCCATGGTGATGGCTTACAGCCACCTGTAACTTCAGCCCTGGAGAGTCTGACACCCTCTTCTGGCCTGGGTGGCCACCAGCACATGTGTGGCACACCCACAGAGACACATATACACATAAGTAAACATTTAAAAACTGTGAGCACAGTCTTTCAGAAGTTATCTTTGCATTTAGTAAAATGATGAGTGAATTAATGTAAATCAAGATCCTTGAAGCGCACATTATTTTCTTAAAGGTGCTAAAAGTACCGTTTAATGGACAGGCAAGATGGCTCAAATAAAGGTGCTTGCTGCCAAAGAGGACCTGGGTTCGATCCTTGGGACTCCCATGGTGAAAGGAGAGAGCTGACTCCTGCAAGTTGTTCTTTGACCTCCACGTGCACGTCTATAAAAACAGATACACACATACACACACACACACACACACACACACACACACACACACACACACACACACACACACACACACACCCTTCCCCAAATAAACATATGCAAAATAAAGGTACTAGGAGTTCTTATTTTCAAATTGGTATCAGCAGAAGCAAACTCTGCTTAGGGCAGCAGCTTCATGAACTAATTTAAAATAATTCTGGTTTACTTATTAATTCAGGTTTTTTCAGGTACTCCTTAATCAGAGTTGTATAAATTGAATTTTATTAGTAAATTGTGCGTGTGTGTGTGTGTGTGTGTGTGTGTGTGTGTGTGTGTGTGTGTGTAAATCATTACACAGCAAGTCACTGATTAGACTTTGCCCCAAGCCTTTGGCATGACTTGCAGCTGATTTTGTAATCTCACTGGTGAAAGTCACAGAGAACCGAGAGGAGGGAGGATTTCAGTACCGAGGAAATGGGGCTGATAACGTCTCTTCAACCCAATAAGTCACTCTTGGCTTTTGAGAAAGAACCTGGAGGATATAAGGCAGTGGAAGCCAGGAGAGCTGTCTGGGAGGTGCGCCAGTAATTTCAAACTTCTTTCGGGCCAGCAGACCCAGAATGAAAGAAGGCCCACTGTAGGGATGCTGTGTAGACAGCATCTTTAGTGGGGATGTAAGGAGCTGGTAAGAGCATGCTGTGAGCATAAGCTCAAAGGGGGACGGAGCAGCGATTTAGAAATTTGTTACCTTTGTAAGGATGCTGCTTCACTCCCTGGAACGTTCTCCTTGTGTATTAATAATTTATTGTAGCCTACTGTCTTCAGTAAATGAAACTGAAGTACTTGAGTTGTAGGACACATTAGGCCACAGTTGGCTTAGGTGTAGACTCGAGCAAAGATTAAGAACAAGGTATAATGGATCAAAGGTCAGGACAGAGTATCAAGATGAGTTAAAGAATGACTGTCGAATGCAGATCGAATAGAGAAAACTTGATGTAGAACTTCCTTTGGCTGTTTCTGTCAAAGAGGAGAGCATGTAACTTTAAAAAATGATGTCTGCTAACAAAGCACTTGTCAGCGTTAGAGCACCCCGGCCACTCTGATACAAGTGTTAGATGCTGCTGCTTGTGTAGGTCAGCTGGTAATCTGCCCCATGTTCGGAACGTAGAGAGCTGGTTTTCTTCCGTCAGTGGCAGGAGCAGGGTTTGAGTGCCTGCAGCTGAGTGTGACTAGGAAGCTGTGCACCTGATTCTGGAACATAACTGAGTTCTTGAAGACAGCTAGCAGCTGAGGCATGGAGGACCCATTGCTAAATTGTGATTGATTAATACACTTGGTGTGTTTCGTACCACCAGAGATCAATGCCATCATGTGCTAGAGAAATCCTTTCTCACTAGCAGCCCATTGGGAATTACCAAAACCTCCTTAATGACCCGAAGAGGCAATATATTCTTTAAACAGGGCCACTGAACGTTGGTAAGGGTGACCCCAGAAGTCCAGTTTCCTTCTCCTATGACCCAGTCTGAGGAAAAGGGTTTTATGAGTTCATTAACAGCTGGACTATTTTTGTGAGGTATAATGTGTTGAAGGGGTTTGGACTTTTACTCCGGGCAGTACCTTTAGTTACCATTTATTGACACCTCCTGTTTTAGGCTCTCGTGTCAAATTTAGCTTTCTACTGAAAAGTTAAGAAACCACCCCAGCTTTACAGAATTCATAGTCTAATTGGCAGGATTCTGACTCGGGGATTCTGGGAGCTATGGAGCCAGATAGGGGAAGAATTGCCGGCAAGGGGTTCTTGAGAATCATTTATTTCACCCATGGCAAGGCTGCTCCGCACACACACAGCCCTTCCCCGATTGGACATGTTTGAGTGCGTTGTAAAACTGCTTATGTAAGTGGAAGGTGAGGGAGAGAAGTCAAGTGAGTGTCTCAAGGGGGACTTCACACAGCTCTCCACCTCCTTCCCACCCACAAGTCAGCAAGCTCATTGTTCTCCAAGTGTCTGTGTAGATGGCAGGCCCGTAGAATGCATCCTCTTATTGACGCGAATAAATGCTGGGGTTTATAGTGATGCATTCGGTATCTGGAGTTCTCAGGATACTGGTGGTGAACCTGTGGAGTTGTTCTGCCAGGAGCTCACTACACTGGTGTGCTCTCCACACACACAGACTGACCACGATAGCGGTCCACAGCATGCTCATGGGAAGACTTTAACTCCATTTTTATAAAATAGTGAAAAATAAGAGGACTCACCTGAAATCACCCTGGGGAAGGAGGAGTCTCAAGTACTTGTTTGATCTCTCAGTAGGGTTCTTTCGAGGAGTCTGCTTTTCTCTGAACTTTCCAGAAGGTAGAACTTGGAGACGGTGGGGCTGGAGTGTTCTTTCTAGTTTGATGGGTGTCTGACTCAAAGGAATGTCGAGAAAAATGGAGACTGATAGATTTTAAACATGGTTATAGGAGGAAGATTTTCATTGGAGAGGTTGTGTTTGAGTGAGCCACAGCTGTCTTTTGGGCGTCACTGTGGCTGTGGGGCTCAGTTTATTTGAATACAAGAAAAGTCCCAGGGCTGTTACTTCATGCAGACTGCGCACTGCTTTTGGCTCAGCCATGGCTTTGTCTGCAGTGCCTACAATCAACCTGGTGCTTTGGTTACTTTAGAATCAGTGTCCTAAATTGACTATTTTTAAAGGGGAATTAAAGCAAAGACCATTGCAACTTAGCACTTGCTTTTCTTTTTGTCTGTTTACAGTGCCTGCTTGTTTTATTCTCCTGTTTTTCCTTCTTTTTCAGATGATTGCCGGAGAAAGTCTGTCTGTTCACTTTAATACCTTGCAGTCAAATTCCTTTGTCGGCAATCACTATATAGCCAGTATTTACAAAGCCATCGGAGCCTTTTTGTTTGGCGCCGCAGCCAGCCAGTCCCTGACTGACATTGCCAAGTATTCTATAGGCAGACTGCGTCCTCACTTCTTGGCTGTTTGTGACCTTGATTGGTCAAAAATCAACTGCAGTGATGGTTATATTGAGAACTACATCTGTCGAGGTAACGAAGAAAAAGTCAGGGAAGGCAGGTGAGTGTGTGCTCTCCAACGCCCATGTCACTTTGAGGAGTGTCCGCTGGCTGCAAGGTTTGCATGCCTGGAAGAGGAGCTGCCTGCCACTTTGCTAAGAGAAGCTGGGGCAAGCCGCGGAGTGAGAGGAATCGTGAACCACCCTTAACCCCAGTCCTGCTGTTTAGACCATGGTGTTTGTGTTCATTTAGGAGCATTTTACTGAAACGGTTTATTTTGATGTATGAGTTTGTAAAATGAACCCGGACCACTTACTTCATGGTTGGTAAACTTTTTCTTAAGATGCTGGTTCAAGGCCTGGAGAGGTGGCTCAGTGGCCTAAGTTTCTTCACTTATAGTAGGGTTATATCTTGACAGAGGCATTTTGAGCTGAAAATGTCGTAAGTAAAAAGTGTATTCAGTATACCTAGGCAGCCTAAACATCTGTCACACAGTGACTGCGTTACACTCAGTAAAGGTGGCTTTCCTTCTTGGTCATGTAGCTAGCCACCAGTGCCCAGGTTCACAGAGTTCTGGACCCTGGATTGTATAATGGAAAGATATTTATAAATCAACTTTTAAGATCCAGTTTCCACTCGGTGAATGTTACTTTGATACCGTAGTGAAGTAAAACAAGTTGTAAGTGAACAGTCTGTGTGTACTAGCTGAACTACGTTTTAAAATCGCTTTACTGGTGTATAATTTGTATCCATGAAATCTGTCCACCCTTAATCAAGGTTGTGAGTATTATTTCCATTGCATTAGGTTTTTGTCTGAGCCTGTGGCAGCCCTTGGGTCAACTTTCTGTCCTCACAGTTCTATATTTCCTATGATGTTGTATGTGAGACATTCAGTGAGGACTGATATGTCTGCCTTCTCTTTTTAACATGTTGGTTTCATGATTCATCCATGTTCTGGGAGATTATTACAGGAGATTATTATGCCGATCCAGTCATCTGAAAGTTGATTGACATTTAGGTTGTTTCTAATTTGGCACTATGAAAAAATAAAGCTTCAGCTGAGCATAGTGGCTCACACCTTTAATCCCAGCTCTTGGGAGGTAGAAGTGAGTTCCAGGCCAGCCGGAAGTACACAGTGAGATCCTGTCTCAAAAAATAAAATGAAGTAAGATAAAAGCTGCTCTAAACATTTGTGTGCATGAATATGCCTTTTATTTTACTTGAATAAACAGGAGCAGAAATACTGAGCAGACAGTATGGGCGTTGGTACAGTTCCAGGCCACCAAGTATCGCAGTGGTTGTGGCACGCTGCATCCTTCCCAGGAACGTATGAGTCCTGGCTGTCATTTGCCATTAGTCTTTGGTGTTTTGGTCACCCTGTGGGCTTTCTGTATCAGTGGTTTTCCTTTGTATTTTGTCACTGGGTGTCTTCATGTGGCTTTGTCCTGTCGGTCCTGTCATCTGGGAAATCTCTGCTCAGCTCTTGTTCCTGTTTAAAAAAAAAAAGTGGGTCCCTTGTTCTCCTGAGTTGTGAGTTACTTCTTCTTATACATGGCATTTTGGAGACATGTTTTGACATATTTTCTCCAAATCTGTTGCATCGCTGTCTTTTTTCTTACTGATACTCCTTGAAGTATAGAAACGTAAACTTTTAAGAGCTTCTTTGTGTGATGTTGTGTGTGCACGTGGAGAGAGAGGTCGGCACTGCATGCCTTCTTCAGTTACAGCCCACCTTAGCTTTGGAGCCAGCGTCTCTGGGGGCTGAGCCGCATCCCTGAGCCTAGCTTGCAGAGAGCCCCAGCGATCCTGCGGTTCTAGGACTCGGGTCCTCGTGCTGGAGCGGCGAGCACTGCTCCAGTGTCTGAGCCATTGTGTCGTTCGCTTTCATAGTCCGTGGCTGGGGATCCTAGTGAATCTAGACCCTCCCGTGCTGTCTAAATCCAGTCTTAAGTTTAGCTCCTACAGTAAGTCCCGCATTTGAACTTATTTTGTGTATAATATAAGGAAAGAATATTTATTTTCCCATGGACTATGCAGTTTTCAGAATTATTGACAAATCCATCTTTGGGGGAAGGGGATCGAGACAGGGTTTCTCTGTTGTAGCCTTGGCTGTCCTGGGACTTGCTCTTGAACTCAGAGAACGGGCTGGCCTCGAGCTGAGATCCACTTGCCTCTGTGTTGGGATTAAAGGTGTGCACCACCACTGCCAGCCAAATACATCCTTTTTAATTTAAATTTTAAAATTTTTTTAAATTTTAAATTTTACTAGCACTTTTGTTGCAAATAAAGTGGGTCTGCTGCCGGTTGCTCAGTCTGTTTCATTAATCTGTGTGCTTTTCTCTGCCAGTGTTATACCGTAACATGCTTTGTCTGTTGTAGGTCTTTTGTGGCTCGTTTGCTAGAATTTTCATTGAGATTGCTTTAGATCTTTACATTTTTGGTGCCTTGTGATCTTTTTAAAATTATTTTTTATTGTTCTGAGTCTGAGTGTTTTGCCTGCATGTATGTATGTATGTGCACCATGCTCGTACCTGGTACCTGCAGAGGCCGGAGGAGGGCGTCAGATCACTTGGAACTTGAGTTACGGACAGTTGTGAGCTTTCGTGTGGGTGCTGGGACTCGAACTTGGGTCATCTGAAAGAGCAGCGTGCTCTTAACTGCTGAGCCATCTCTCCAGCCCCCACAGCTATTAATCTATAACACTGGGTCTCCTAACTCAGGAAGATGGTTTTCTTTAGTTACCAGTGATTACTTCCTTTTCCATCTCTTTCCCTCGATCTCTGGAGCCAAGGAGATGTCACAGTCAAGAACAGTCTAGGCCTGGGGTGTGGCTCCCGGGTAGAACTCTAGCCAGGCATGCCCAGGCCCAGGTTGGATCACAAGCACCAAACAGAAAAAGAGAACACGGGGAGGGACAAGCTCTTGCAGGAACTGAAGTCAGCGTTTCTCTTTGCTCCTAGGTTGTCCTTCTACTCGGGCCACTCTTCGTTTTCCATGTACTGCATGCTCTTTACAGCGGTAAGTACCGAACGTCTCCGGGGCCGGGGCTCTGCACGCAGGTGGAGCGAAAGGAAAGAGGCAGGAAGCTCACTGCACTCAGGAGCTGCCAGGTGCCCTGTGTGCCGACACCGCTGGGCGCAGAGCCTCTGTGCTCCTGGGACAGGGCACTGGGCTGGGGGCCCGGCAGCTGTGGCTACCGCTGGAGCAGCTGTGTCCTCTTTTCATTTTCTGAAACATTCCCTACAGACTGCACTGCTAGGTCCAGCTGTGAGCCTGTGGGTCAGCACACTTGCCATGTTCCAAGTTGGCATGGAGGAGTTAGAAAAGATGGCCACCCACAGCTCACGAACCCAGAGATGAGTATGTGAGACTCCGTTAGTACACATTCTAGGAATCTATATATATGCTTATATGCACATATATATTTACGTATTTTTGTTTTTTTCAGACATGGCTTCTTTGTGTAGTTTTGGCTCTCCTAGAACGAGCTCTGTAGATCAGGCTGGCCTCCAACTCAGTTGTTATATTTTATAACATTCTTTCTGTACTTACATAATTACTTATGTCATTCCATCAGCTACAAGTTTTGTGCTTTTTCTTTAAAAAGTCTTTTATTATGTTTACATGTGTGTGTGTGTGTGTGTGTGTGTACGTACGTGTGTACGTGTACATGTACATGTGTGCCTGTGGAGGACAGAGGACAGCTTGTTAAGTGTTCTCTTCCTCCCTGTGGGTCACTGGGACTGAGCTGAGGTCAGGCTTGGTGGCATGCGCCTTTACCTGCTGAGCCATCTTCATGGTCCTATGTTAATTTTCTTTGTAAGTAAATTTTTATATAGTTTAATGCATGTAAATTTGCAGATTCCTGTTTTTCCCTTAATATGACTATATGTTAAATATAACATGAGTATTTAAAGGTTAGATTAAAAAAATCCATTATATAGTTGGGCAGTCACATAGGTCTATAATCTAGCACTTGGGAAGCCTGAGTTCTGGGCCAGCTTTATCTGTGGAAGTCAATCTCTGATGTGAATGAATGTTGAATTAATTTGGTAACTGAATTTATAATCAACTTTAAATTTTTTTATTTGAAAAACCTGTAAAAAATTTTTGCAGATGTTATATAACATTCAAGTCCACAACTTCAAGGCATTACCAGGTGATTTTTGGATTCAACATTCTGAAAAATCACAGGGCTTTCCTCTTACGACTCAGCAGAATCAGAGCTTCCTTTGAAGACACACACTCAAGTCTTTCTGTAGCTATGCCATAGAGGTGTGACTCATTTCAGGGTAGTTAACAGCAAACTGTGCTCTAACATTCTCTGTTTATCTTTTTTTTTTTTTTTTTTTTGGTTTTTCGAGACAGGGTTTCTCTGTGTAGCTTTGCACCTTTCCTGGAACTCGCTTTGGAGACCAGGCTGGCCTCGAACTCACAGAGATCCGCCTGGCTCTGCCTCCCGAGTGCTGGGATTAAAGGCGTGCGCCACCACCGCCCGGCTCTGTTTATCTTATTAGGAAAAATTAGCTCCTGTTCCAAAGGAACCAACCATGTTTTGTTTTCTAACTAGGATACTAAGGAAAGCTGGGCTGGTCAGAGCCAGGTGTACCCCACATAGGACTTGGTCCAAAGCACAAGGTTGTGGGCTACAGTGATTGGCTTTGGAAGTGTTCAGCCAGACCTGCTTGGGTCTGTGATTTGTCTTCTTCATGACCTGAGTGTCAGTGTCTCTGTCCTTGAAAGAGACGTAGGATTCTGTTTTGGTTGCTGTCAGTGATTTATATTTTACACTTAAAACAAAACTCTTTCTTGTAATTTCCATGTAGAAAAATGTGGAGCTTCTGCTGCTCTCGAGGGGAAGAGTAGAGGCCTTGGAAGGGGCTGTGGTCTGTGAGCTGTGCAGAGTCTCTTGACAATCAAGGGCACTTGCTTTTTTGATTACCTGAAAGCTTGGAAGTCACATAGATGGAGGGAGGCTCAGCTTGCCCTGTGGGTATGTGGGAGCCTTTGCGAATCTGTTCACACCATGAAGTGGTACCGGGTCAGTGTGACTTGACAGAAGCCTGGGGAAGGTGGCTCAGTTAGTGAAGGGCCTGCCTGCAAGGATGACCCCCAGTTCCAGTCACAGCGCCCATGGAAAAAGCTGCATGTGCTGGCCCTTGCCTGTAACAGCAGCACCGGGAAGGCAGGCAGGAGGCCTTCTGGAGATCACTGGCCAGAGCTCCCGGTTCAGTGAGAACCCTGACTCAAAAAGTAAGGCTGGAAAGATGGCTCAGCGGTTACTGCCTGTTCTTCCAGAGGACCAGGGTCTAATTCCCAGTACTTACATGGTGGCTCAGAACTGTCTGCAGCTCCAGTCCCAGGAGACGCAGCACTGCCTTCGGGCCTCCAAGGGCACCAGGCATGCGGATGTACACTCAAGCAAAACGCATACACCGAACACACAAGTGGAAAGCAATAGAGGAAACCCAACACAGACTTCTGGTCTCAATGTGGCACCTACCCATATTCTTAAGTGTACCCAAATTCTTCAGCTCAGGTCTGCACTTAGCATACAAACTTACAAAGAGAGAAGTCTAGCTAGGTGTGTTATAAACCAAGGCGTTTCTGCAGGACAGCAACCACATGCTGTTTAACTGGCTTGACACAGTAGAGACATGGACTTGATTGGCATGTAAGCTTAGCTTTGCTTCATCCCTGAACAGTGTCTCCTGGCTTTCCTATTTATATACAACACAACCTCCCCTCTCCCACACTCCTGAGGCAGTGACTCACCTTGTTTCTCTGGGCATCTTGGCATTATAGGTCAGTCCCAGGTTTGGGTGGAGATAAGTCATTTAAAGTCTGAAGATTCCTGACACTTACAAATTAAAATTACAAATTTAATTACAAAATTCCTCCTAAAGCCCGTCCTTTGACTGTTGTGGCCTGGCAGGCAGCCCAGCCCTGAGCTCAGTGCCGGGAAGGAGCCCCAGTGCCAGAGCTGGAAGGGCTCCGGGCAGGGCCGCTTTGCACTTGCTGTGACTCCCCTTGAATCTGGTTGACCGCCAAAAATCACAAATTTTGTGACTGTCAGAGTAGTCATGAGAGAGGACAGTGAGTGAGAAATGTATCAGGTTTTTCGTGGAGCCATCCTACTGAGGTTTATTTACATCATGGCCCCTGACATCTCTTTCACAAAAGCAGTCACACCTTCTTTCCTAGCATCCTTACCACTCAGGTATAGACACCTGCCTATTTAAACCTGTATTCCTTCACACCACTCCTTCCTTGAGACTTGTGGTCATGGAGCACTGACCTTGGCCCACTTAGCAATGTTTCTGGAAGATGTTTTCAAACTGTGGAGGAACACTGAGCAGGTGATGACTTCATGGCTCACAGGGGTCACCTAAGACCATCAGAAAATGCATTTACATTACAGTTCATAACAGTAGCACAATTAGGAAGTAGCAACGAAAATAATTTTATGGTTAGGGGTCACCACAGCCTGAGGAACTGTCTTAAAGGGTCACAGCACTAGGTTGAGAACCACTGAACTAGAGGGATGGGGAAAGGAGAGAGAAATGCCTCACAGCGGTTTCCTTGTGAAACTTGCCGCTTGGCTGGCGCCCATTATCACAGCCTTCTGTGGTTTACGTGTAGACAGAAAGTCAGGGGGGGAGGAATGTCTAGGGTGGTGAAGTGGGTTTTTGTTCGGCCTTCTTCATTCTGAACCATCTCCTGGAAATGCCCACCTCATTGGAGTTCTAGAGCGTTCCTGTGATAACAGGGATGGCAGAGCACCAGGCTCTGGTGGTCCTTTTGTCATTATTACTGTTACTATTAAAGTTGCTGATGGAGAAGAGCCCAGTGCAGTGATTTCCGGGTCTAGTCAATGTTTTGCCAATGGGGAAACACCAGTGTAGGTGGACCTGGAGGAGAATGTTTCAGTGTGTGCTGGAACTTACTTGACTACTGACCCATAGTGAACTCAGTTCTTTCCCTTGGTAGCTGGGGAATAAAATTCTGCAAAAATAACACTGAACGTGCCTGCAGGCTTCTCTGGAAGGAAGGATTATATTTGTTAAGAGGGATTTTGGAGCAGGGAATGTTCTTTCCAGTCCCATCTCTGGGTCTCTCATGTCAAGATACACAAAAACGATCTTCCTCATTTCATTTAGAGGTGCTGTATGCCCACCCTCCCTGCAGAGATGGGTAGAATTCTTCCTTCCTTGATTTGCAAACATTTGTAATTCTCAGATGTTTTTATTGTCTGAAAAGGAACAACCTGCTGCTGACAGCTGGATGTTTGTACACTACCCAGAACTTGGCTTCAGCTGTAGTCTAGAAACTTCCTCTTTAAAATGAACTTTGTAATTAAGGTGGAAATAATGAAGTGATGTTTAAGACTCTTAAACAAGAAGGGGGGTGGGGGCAGGCTCTGTAGAGCCAGCAGCACTCAGACAACTGTATGGCATTTTGTAACTGTCCACACCTGCACTTGCTGTACCGTGTAGATGGTTGGGAGGACAGTGTTTAGTCCAGTCAGAAGTCACTGAACCGATTCTAGTTCTCTAAGTGCCTGTGGACACGTGGACGCTAGGGGAGGACAACCTTAGGTCTCATCTTCAGGAATGCTGTCCCATCCTTTGAGCCTGCCTTACCATCAGTAAGGTAGACTGGCTGGCCAGGACCTTCCTCTGCTGTCTCTGCAACCCCAGCTCTGGGATTACAAATGCAAACCATTGTGCATGGCTTTTCTCTGTGGGTGCTAGGGGACCCAACTGTGGCCTTAATGCTTCCAAAGCAAGTGGTGTACAAACTGTCTTAGGGTTACTATTGCTGTGTTGTAGATGTATCCAACCTTCCCATCAAACAATAAACACAGAACCAATGCAAAGAAGAAAGCCAAGAGGTCAGAGCCAAGAGCCAAAACCTTACCCTTCCTCCTGCAGTGGTCCTACCTCTCCGAACCAGAGCTACCCCTGTGTTAAAGTCTTTATATAGAGTTCCTGTCCTGCCTTCTCATTGGTTGTAAACCCAACCACATGACCGCCTCCTCACAGCCTGTCTGTATAGGCCTCCAGGTTTTCCATGATTGGTATTAAGATTAAAGGCATGTGTATCCAATAATGGCTGTATCCCTGAACACACAGAGACTTACCCAGCTCTGCCTACTAAGTGCTGGAATTACAAGCATACGCTACCACTGCCCTGCTTTCCTATGGCTTGCTAATAGCTCTGACCCCCGGGCAACTTTATTTATTAACATACAAATAACATTTTAATACAAATAAAATATCACCATACTGTGTTGAAACACCGCTGCCACAGCAACTCGAGGAGGAAAGGGTTTATTCAACTTACTCTTCGACATTACAGTTCATCAAAAGACATCAGGACAGGAACTCAAACAGGGCAGGAACCTGGAGGCAGGAGCTGATGCAGAGGCCATGGAGGGATGCTGTTTACTGGCTTGCCCCACCTACTTTCTTACAGAACCCAGGACCAGCAGCCCAGGGATGGCCCCACTCACAATAGTCTAGGCCCTCCCCATCAATCACTCACTAATTAAGAAAATGCACCGCAGGCGTGTCTACAGCCCGATCTTAGGGAGGTATTGTCCCAATTGAGGTTTCCTCCTCCTCCAGTGACCGACTCTAGCTTGTGTTGTTATAAACTAGCCAGCACACTGAGCTATCCCCTCTTAGCCTGCAGATTTTTATTTTTTGGTTTCTCAAGACAAGGGTCTCTCTGTGTAGCCTTGGCTGTCCTGGAACTCTCTCTGTGGACCAAGCTGTCCTCAAACTCACAGAGATTGGTCTGTTTCTGCTTCCCGAGTGTTGGGATTAAAGGCATGTACCACCCAGCGCCTGCAGGGTTTTTTTCTTTTTAGGCGTGTGAGTAGGGGTGATGGTGTCATGACACAGGGTCTTGTATCCTAGATGGCCTGGAACTTTCCATCCTCCTTAAGTGCAAGGATTACAAGGATACACTATTACCACCTATAACTAAATAACTAGAAGTATAGTTTTTTTTTTTAATTGTTTTTTGGAGGTTTTTTTGCTTTTAAAATAAGATTTTCACTGGAGATTTCCTTCTGTATCAAAAATTTCAGGTATTTATGTGCCAGAATCATGGGGAATGTCCTCAAGTATAGAAACGGTAACAGGTTAGGGGAAGAGCACATTGCTTTGCTGATCCTGACTGCATTATAACCCACACTGCTTATTTGGGCAGGTTATTATATTTACTTAGGTAGATCATTTATTTAGTTGCAGTTGCTATTGTTTGAGGATAGTAGAACTCTTGGGTAAACTGGTAAGCTAAGCAAACAGTCCTTAGATGTGCTGGGCAGGACCCAGAAGTCTGGCCTAGAGCAAGGGCCAACCCTTGCCTGAAGTCTAACAGTGGACCCCAAGACTAGCGACAAACGACAACCCTGTACACTACCAGAATTGTAGCTCAGGCTACAGGGGGAGGAAGGACTACTGTGAAATCCTGTCTATAGACACAGTGAAGCCCTGCTTCACACTTCCAAGGGCCTGGGCTAGCTAAATAGGGAATAAAGTCTCCTAAATACAAGCTCTAGGACAGTATTTGTGGCGGGGTGGGGAATCCTTTAAAGTAGTAACTAAAGTTCTATTTCATATGTAAATATTTTGATAATCTAAATGCCAACACTTTAGAGGGGAAGTGATCCTCAAGTTTTCAGCTTGCTTGATAAATGAACTATTCTTCCTGCCCCCGCCCCTTTCTATTAGCTTTATCTTCAAGCCAGGATGAAGGGAGACTGGGCAAGACTCTTGCGCCCCACACTGCAGTTTGGTCTTGTTGCTTTATCCATATATGTGGGCCTTTCTCGAGTTTCTGACTACAAACACCACTGGAGTGACGTGATGGTTGGACTCGTCCAAGGAGCCGTGGTTGCAATATTAGTTGTAAGTATACACAACTGTAGCCTGCGTGCTGACTGACACTGCTCGACATTTGAAAAATCCCCAGTGAGGAACCTGACAGGGTAGAAAATGTGGCCCAGTAATTCCAAGAATCCCGTTTTTGCTTGTTTTGTTTTTTTGTTTTTCCAAGATAGGGTTTCTCTGTGTAGCCTTGACTGTCCTGGAACTCACTCTGTAGACCAGGCTGGTCTTGAACTCACAGAGAGCCGCCTGCCTCTACCTCCCAAGTGCTGGGATCAAAGGCATGGTAAAGAATCTCAATGTTAATAAAATCTTTTGCAGGATAGGTCAGATAGGTAAAAATTAGGTTACTTCTTTGTGAATGTTGTAAATTCTTAGTGTTTTCATTGCTAAAGTCTATTGCTATAATAAACAAGTTTCTTTTTGCATGAGCTGAAAACTGATTCACTTAAAAAAACTCATTAAGTGTTAGCTGAATGAAGCTATTTACTAAAGACATACACTAAAAAGCTTTTTTTTTTTTTTTTTTTTTTAAAGATTTTCTTTTAGCCATTTTTTCTTTTTGAGACAGTGGTTCACTATGTAGCCCTGGCTGGTCTGGAATTCCAGAGAGCCACCTGCTTCTCCTGTGTTGGGATTAAAGGCATACACTATTACCACCAGCCCAGCCAATTATTACTTTATGTTCCTAATTGCTTCCTGAAATTTTGTATATGATTTTTAAATTTATGTAAATTCTGCCCTGTTCTATACAGGCTGTGTATGTATCAGATTTCTTCAAGAACAGACATCCTTATGCAGAAAGGAAAGAGGATGACTCACATACGACTCTCCATGAAACCACCACCTCAAACGCGTACTCAAACAATCACCAGCCTTGAAGGGTATGGAGGAGCTGGTCAGCTTTCTGAAGGAAACCGCTAGAAGGAGGCGGCGGCGGCGGGAGGATGCATATTACTTTCCGGTGTATAGGCCATTGAAGGACTGCTGCTATACCTCTTGGATTACCTACTTTACCTGTGTATATAACACAATGAGTATCTAATAGCCCGATTTAAAAAAATATTCAAGCCTTCCACTAAAAACACTGCCCCACCTGTACATTTTTTAATTGAAAGATGCTATGTACAAATGTGTATGTTACATGCCTTCTTAGAATGATATCTGATTTAAGTATAATAAAATGCTTGAAACAACTCTTGATGGGAGGACCACTTGGACACTTGTAAGCAGTTACAGTCAACTGTAATCAGATAGATGGTGATTAATGTTGAACTCTATAAGTAGAGGCTGGCAGCAAATACAATATCCCTCTTGATTTTGGTGATTCCTATGGGAAAAAGAAAATAATGCTTAAACTTTCAAGACCATAAAGCATAACTTCCTTGTACTAGGATTTTACAGCTCAGTCCTGACTAAATTGGTAAGAGAACAACGTGGACTATAAAAAGCTGTTAGCTTAAGAGACTTCAGAGTCACTGAAGAACCTCGGGGACAGTCCTTGCTCTTTTGACTGTGGTACACATGAGTGGCTACTTAAGATGTCAGAAGCAGATGATCCAGATCCAGCAGTTGTCTTTATACCAGAAGACATGGGAAACTTTTAGACTAAAGCAGGACAAGTATACACATTTTTAAACTGTTTATATCAGCTGCCTCTATCAACATTCTACTCAGTGTGGTACAACATGTAAGTTAGAAATCACTAGCATGAACTGACTTTATAGCCTGTCTTGTCTTGGCCGAGATACAGGTAGAGATGTGGAGATGACATGCTATTTATGAACAGCATGCTTCCCAACTCCCCACCCCCCAGTTTACAGTCTAGCCATCCTTCCTAACCTGGTCTCCCTATATCCTCCTTGCTAATCTACAAACTTGGCCATTTCCATCTCCCCGTCAATCCCTACTGTACTTGCTCTGCTCCAAGCACACTAGCCTCCTGCTGCTGCTCAAACATTTTTGAGTCTGCAGTAAAGGCCCAGTGTCATTCCTGTGGAGGTCTTTAGGCTACTGTCTTTTTCTGTTTCCTTCTTGCAGACTTAGTGAGCGCTGACTTATTATCTCCCTCACATTATAAGATAAGTTCCATTAATGCACTTTTATGTCCACTCTTACATTTCTTTTTTTTTTTTTTTTTTTTTTTGGGACAGGGTTTCTCTGTGTAGCTTTGCGCCTTTCCTGGAACTCGCTTTGGAGACCAGGCTGGCCTCGAACTCATAGAGATCCGCCTGGCTCTGCCTCCCGAGTGCTGGGATTAAAGGCGTGCGCCACCACCGCCCGGCCACTCTTACATTTCTTAAAACAATGCTGGACACCCCGTATTTAATAAATATGTAAATGGGAATCTGTGTATAAAACAAAAATCCCAAAAATGTCCCACATAAACGTCCCAATTTTATGTACATACTGTTAGTTGACCTTCCATGACAGTCTGGCCAAGACACCTCAAAATTTCCTTCTTAGCTGTGTCAAAGGCCCAAGTCTCAAGATTTGCCTAAATGATCAGAAAAGGCTTATAAACTAAATACTGACCTTCAGCAAATTTGTTCTCCAGCTCTGTGTTTCCAATGGCTTTTGCTGCTTGACACATCTGTCGAAGCAGTTCTTCCAGGCGCCTCATACAGCGAATTATGCTGCCTAGACAGAAAAGGAATCAATGGGTTCCTTGGGAGTACAACCAGGAATAGGAAAACACTTGTTACGATACAAAGCAGGAGAACATGAAAAGCTTCGATTAATGGCAGTAAAAGACATAATCTAAGGACACACTGGCATGTTTTTAGAGTGGGTAAACCAAATGCCCTGGCAGAAAAGAGAACAACTTGAGGAAGGTTGGCAAGGATGGCAGCTCTGAGCCTGTAAGAATCACCAGGTCTCTGGAGACAGTGCACAAAAGCCTAACAAAGTACCACGTACCAGGACCCTGAGTGAACCCTACTTAGGATTCTGGATACCCAGGCACTAGCTGTGGAGAGAACAGGGTTAGCATGCTTCCTCAATGTTTTCTTTACAGTGTGGTCTTAGAAGTAGAGAGGAGACAAGTTTCTCCCTACAGACTGCAAATCTGGAACAAGTACCTATCAGAGCTGAAGCTGTAGACAGTGCTATTTGTTAGACTTGTGTGGGGAGAGACCTGGCCTGTCTCCAAGTGTGATCTTACGGTGAGATCTGAGGATTTCACTGTAATGTCCAGACTACATTAGGAGCATCATTTATCTTAAGTGCAAGCTGTAAGAAAGGCGGCCATACTCTCTGACTTCTTGTAACACTGAATAGTTCATTATTATGAAAACTGATAAATGTTAATCACTGCTCAACGCTAAGGATCCTTCTTACTGCTTATATCCTCCATATTATGTTCCAGCATGTCCAAGTGGGATAAATAACTGAGATACAACCCAAAGCTGGATAAAAACAGGGAAGCTAAGTATGGTGGTGCACAGCTTTAGTCTCTCCCAGTACTCAAGGAGCTCTATGAATTTGAGGCCAGCCCAGTCTACATAATCAGTACCATGCAAGGCTACATAATGAGACCCTGTCTCCAAACAGTACTGGAGTTCAAACCCCAGGACCTTCCATGAGAGCTCTACTACTGAGCTGCATCCCTAAGTCCCAATAAATAGCATTTAAAATGAGGATTTGTCTCACTTGAAAGAACACAACTAAAGTCTATTTGTAATACACAATTTTTGTGAAGTTACTTGGCTCCTGGTTAGAAAGCTCATTAAATGAGTCAAAAGCAAAAGGTAGTTAACTACGGCTTACTCACTGCTGTGCTAAAAGACCTAGCTTAACTAAGGAAGGAAAGATTTATTTTGGCTTATGGCTTAGAAGTCCATCACGGAGAAGTCACACCAGGTATGACTGAGCAAGCATGTGCCATGACATGACTTTGGTCCTGGGAACATGACTGGGGCACTTTGGGGATGAAGAAGACAAACACAGAAGAGCTGGGATTGGGTGGGCTGTGCTCTCTGATGGAGGGCACCACAATGTAATCTGGAAACTCGGGTAGTCTCTAGGGGAGCAGCATCCGGATGCAGTCATCTGGGAGGAGGAAGCTGTGTGCTAGCCTTTTTGTTTTTTGTTTTCCTGCACACACTAGCCAAGCATCTGTAAACACATCTGTAAAAAAGGCTCTGTCATTCCTCTGAGCTCACCTGAAGAAGGTGGCTTTGCCTTTCCATGAGTCTGAGGCATTGGGATCCTTGACATGTCTGTGTTCATGTCAACAATACAGATTCACTCAGGGTTTCCTCCACTCCCCACAAGCATGTTCCCATCTATGTGGATCTGGGTGGCGGGAGAGAAGGCAGGGAGGAGGGCCAGGATGAATCAACACCCTCTGCTCCCACAGGTCCTACAACTTCACAAACAGCAACAGCATCTGGGGACCCAATGCATACATAAGTCTACAGAGAATAGCTCACATTTAAGCCATACAAATGCCAGGATAGGCAAATTCCATAACTACAGACATCAGAACTAGATCAAGAGTGATAACTTCAGCCTCATGTATATGGACATCTTTGGTAATCCCGAAAGCTTCCTTACATGTTGGGAGAGTAAAGAATGTTTAGAAGACAGGATAAAATCAGGCTGAGTATGTCTGAGGAAAGCTGGTGCTGTATACCATTTCCTGGGCACTGATGCTGTGCAGGCCTGTGCTCTGTAGTTTGTGAATTTCTCATTAGGATTTCACAATTCCTCGAGGCAAGTACTATTGTTATCCCTAGTCTGCAATGAGGTAAAGGAGAAAGTTGAGAAGTTCCATACACAAACTGACCAAGGTCAGAGGTAGAATTTATGTCAGGCCAGAGGCTTGGCTCACTGGGAAAAAGGCACTCATGCCTGCCCCCGAAGCCTGAAGACCCAAATTTGATCCATGGAAGCCACAGAGGAATAACAACACTGAGTACTGAAATTTTCCTTTCACCTCTACATGCATACCATGGCACATAAAAAGTATTTGGGAGGAAAAAAAGAATTCACAATGCCTACTCAGATTAATTCACATAAAATTATTTATCTGGGATTTCTAAGATAAGTATATTACAATTCAGTTATACACTTAAAATATTATAAATACTAAATTATTGGTTTTAAACTTTTGCTAGAAATGTTCAATGCTGGTAGTACAAACCAACCAACCCAGAAAACTTATATTAGTATGTTTTAAGGAACTGTTGAGAAACAGAAGTCAGACAAAGGTTCTTCACTCTGCATGCTTGACAGTCTTTAACAACAGTAACTGCACTGAACAGCAGCACTAGAACTGTACAACCACATTCCTTCCCAGAGATGTGACGAGGCTAAAGACGACACTATAAATACTAAGCAAGCATGGGACAGCAGCACCAGACTCTCATTCAGTGCCGGAGGACATGCATTATGCTAGTCTCAAAACAAGGCTACCCTCCAAGAAAACAGGTACAAACTGACAATTTGTCCAGGATCATTACCCCAGGGGTAGGTAATAAGCTCAGATCTATGTTTTTAGCCACTGTTGTGTTGGTAGTAGGAGGTATAGGCAAGAAATATAAGCAGTAAAGCTGGGGAGATGGTTCAGTAGTTAAGAGCACTAGCTGTTCTTCCAGAGGACCCAGGTTCAATTCCCAGCCCCTACATGGCAGTTCACGGGCCTGTGTACTTCCCATTGGTGGGTATCTGACGCCCTCTTCTGGCTTGCTCAGGTACCGCACACATGGGACACACATACATACATATAGGCAGAACAAACTTAAAAAAATAGAAATTTAAGCAGGTTTACATGCAAGAGCAGCAGCAGAAAGGATATGATTTAGGAGGATGACAAAGAATTAAAGATGACCTTGGGGGTCAGAACAACAGAGAAGGTGAACTGAACAGGAAGAGTAAAGGCACATGCAGGTGACTTTCTGGTCAAAAAGTGCCTGGGGCTTTCAGCCCTCCTTCTGAAGAGGACTGATGGAAAGCTGGGCTGGAGTTGAGACAGATGCTCAAGGACAGCAATGAAGGTTGGGAAACTGTAAAGGAAGCCTAGAGAGAATTTCTACTCAGGAGAGTTCCTGAGGTAGAAGGATGTGGGCACATTTCAGCCCCGCCATGCCGTCTACAATCTGAGAACAGTAGCCAACAAAGGACACTAACAAGTCGTCGTGGGAAAGACTACGTGAAGTAGCGTGTAGACGCACACAGTGAATGCTCAGTGCTGA